TAAGGCGCCGCAGATTGCTGTGCAGAGTTGTCTTCCTTGGCCACGCCAGAAGCCTATCATTGTGATTTCGAATCCCGATTTGCCTCAATAATGTGATAATGTGCTTGGTTTGTCAGCACCATACTCATGTTTGTGGGTTCACCAAAGTGTTAAATGTCTCAGACCTGAATCACTTCTGGCTTTCTTCCCACATTAAGCTGACATGCTGTGGTATAACTGGAATACTGTTCAAAGCAGCGTTAAACCCAACTCAGTCACACATCCTTAATTTTAAACGCTTATGACCCCAAGGTTTATTATGTTTAAAGCAGCTTGCTTGATGAATTTTTGAAAGTTCGATGCATTGAAGCTGATATCCCTCAAGTGATATGTCTCATTTATTCAGATTTGTGGTATTAAGGACATAAGAAAACAGGGAAAATGTTTCTGTAGGTTTATTGTTTAGATTGTCTTAAGCATTCAGATGGAGCTGGATAAGTTGATATTCAAAAGGATAGGAATAATAAGTGGTGTAATGTTGATGGGCTATATATTGGAGTTGTCCATACCGCGATGGCAATACATGAATGGCATGTGAATGTGTTTGAGATAGCAACAGTTAAAATCTCAGCCATGTTACACTATTGATAGTAATGACTATCAATTGACGTAATGAAATGAGAAATAAATAGTGTTAATTCAATAATTGTTTACTTTCCCATTGAGTTTGATTCAAAATACACTCATCTTCCTGAGGCAAGGAAGTTAACTGACCTTAAAAGTCCAGTTTCCACCCTTGCCGAACTAGGCTGGAATTTCTGGACTTGATCGTAGCACCAATAGTGGCTATTGCGAGATATGTCCCTTCTATGGCCCTCCTACTAACCAATCGGAGTCCACCTCTCATATCACTTGCATTTGCTACAAACAAAATGGCTGCACACAGTGAAGAAGGTCTGATCGATAATCAAGATCTATATTGTAATGAAACGGGTCTTACTTCTCAAAGTGCGTCAAATCACGTGAGCAACTTGATTAAAAACATGAAAAGATTTGGAATATATCTGTTTATGCTAATTTGACAGAACACATGCTTTGCAAATCCTTCTGTCAACCGAAATCTACACTGCAGTTTACGAACCGGATGCCTATTAAGGTACCCGATTTTGATTGGATTATGCATGGACTCGTTAGTCCAGCCAAAATATAACTCCATAATTCCAGCCAAGATTGGCAAGGATGGAAGTTGGACTTTTATAGTCAGTTAAGTCCCTTGCCTTGGGAAGATGAAATACACTTGGCTTGAACACAGTTGAAGAGTATTTAAATACTTTCAGAAAACATAACTTTGCAGCAGACAATGATCAGGTATCTCTATTAACTCCAAAGCAACTGGATACATTCATGATTTTGGTGACGTGTTAGGCTTCGTCATCATGTTGAATAATGCATCAACACTGGCAAGATAGTCTACTTCTCAAGCTATCTCATACATGATATAAGTACAACTTTTGCAAAAGTATCACAATAATACCCAAAAAAATAAGGCTGGATTTTTATTGGTGAGCCTCTGAGATATGTGAAAGCAGAGATGAACACTGTATAGTTATATAGTCTAATCATAATAATTATTGATGTGTATTATGAAACTGAAGTAAAACCAGCCCTCATTAAAACATGGATTTGTCTCCATGGGCATGCTAGCCATTAATCAAGATATATATTCATGATCAGTAGTGGCTGACTAAAATAGACCAAAAGATCTTTAATCTTTCATCTTAATCCTAATACTTATGCTATCATTTAATAACCACTTAACCATGTTAAATACCGTATATGACCGCGGATAAGCCGACCCCGTAGATAAGCCGAGGTGTTAACTTGACCATTGAAATACGAAAGAAAATGATATGACCCGCAGATAAGCCGAATCAGGAATTGAAAGACAAAAAACACTGCGAAGTCGGACTGCAAGACATGTGCCGGTACTCGCAGATATTCAAAAATATAAGATGAAAAACGTTGTAATTATATTGAAAAAGTCATTATTATTTCTAATAAAGATTTAACAAACCAGTCATCCACTTTCAAAATGTGGGAAGCTGTTTCTCGTGTTTTTTTTAAATCTCATAATGATCGTTATATGTTGCCATCAACAACCAAGCGCCATTTTGTGAATCGGTGTATATAGAATTATGAACCCGTGAGAAAATATATCAGCTGGAGCAAAGACTCGCAGTTTGAATTCAGCATCGTAAGCATGGCGTTTTCGTCTAAAACTCATGATGAAAATGTCGTCAGTAAAAATATACCAACTTTTATAATCCCCTTTACACCACTATTGTATGTTTATGCAATTGAATTAAATAAACTATCATACTATGAACACATTGAATGACCATCACTTACTCACAGGGTTCTCCAGTTTATTAAACTAATCTCTCGAAAACAAAGGAATTAAGCCCCTACTCCCAACACGATCGCTAAGCACCCACAACTTGAAAATGTTTGTGTAAACAACATGACATTATCAATCGGCCCGTAATTATCAGTGCTCATTTCCTTGTGTACCGTGTTGCTTTAAACAACAGGAAGCAATCACAGTGGTCACCGTTTGTGACGTCACAGGAAACAGCTGATCACATGTTTTTGCAAATGGCGAACGAAATAACTCGCCGATACAGTTGTTTATTTGCCTCTTTCAATAAAGGTAGACACTTGTTCACTATCACTTTATGAACAATGCAAAACGTACGTAATAGCTATTGGCGATTTTATCTGGGGATTATATATTATAGCTGTGAATTACATATATTGTTACATGTAAAGATTGTGGAGTTTACGAAGAACGATAAACTTTGAACATTCAATTGAAAACTTATTATCGGAAGTAGTAACATGCTTAACATTTTTTTAATAATGACAACATTGGTGTATAATAATAACTTTATTGATAATTTATAACAATAGTGGCTCTAGTCGTGGCAACTTCCAAACTTTCGGGAAGTTGTAATCTATCGGACCGTCATTCAGGCGATATTTCTGACAGATCACGATCTGAAAAATACTATCATGAAAGTGTATCCTGTGGATAAGCCGACCCCTTTCTACAGAATCTTTTTTCTGGTCCTCAAAATTCGGCTTATACGCGGCCATATACGGTACATGTTATGCTCTAGAGGACATCTTTCATCTTAATCCTAATACTTATGCTATCATTTAGTAACCACTTAACCATGTTAAATACGTGTTATACTCTAGAGGACATCTTTCATCTTAATCCTAATACTTATGCTATCATTTAGTAACCACTTAACCATGTTAAATACATGTTATGCTCTAGAGGACATCTTTCATCTTAATCCTAATACTTATGCTATCATTTAGTAACCACTTAACCATGTTAAATACATGTTATGCTCTAGAGGACATCTTTCATCTTAAACCTAATACTTATGCTATCATTTAATAACCACTTAACCATGTTAAATACATGTTATGCTCTAGAGGACATCTTTCATCTTAATCCTAATACTTATGCTATCATTTAGTAACCACTTAACCATGTTAAATACATGTTATGCTCTAGAGGACATCTTTCATCTTAATCCTAATACTTATGCTATCATTTAATAACCACTTAACCATGTTAAATACATGTTATGCTCTAGAGGGCATCTTCCTTCATCTACAGTACATCTTTGTAATAACATCAAACAAGAGATAAAGGGAACAGCCTATGTAACATATACTGGTAAGCTTCATAAACTGCTACTCCAAACCATGTATTTCAAAATAATAACAGTCATCTCTGCCACAATTTCAACTAATCTCTGTGCTTCAATGCTCTCATTCCTCAAACAAAGTTATCTTAGCGCTACAACTATCTGAAGCTTAGGTGATCTTAACACTACAAATATCTTGGGGTATGTAGGTGATAACGATAAGATCACTTTTGGGGACCTTGGACTGATCTCTTCTAAGTCGACCCATGAAAATCCGTGTTACAATAGCTCTTCAGCAACCCATGCTTTCTATAAAAGATGACGATGCTTGTCATAAGGGGCGACTAAAGGGATCGGGAGGTCAAGCTTGCTGACTTGGTTGGCATGCCATCATATCCCAATTGCGTGGATGCTCATGATGTTAATCACTGGATTGTCTGACCCGGACTCGATTATTTACAGATCGCTGTCATTTAGCTAGAATATTGCTGAGTTTGGCCTTAAACAACAAACACTCATTCTATACCAGTAATTGCTGGTAAATGGAAACAAGGGCATTAAAGAGAGACTTTGGTAGGGGAATAGGCAGCCCCAGCCAGTTCTATTCAGCTTGTTTCAAGTTGTTCATGCTCCTATGTTTTGTCTGCCTAGTCACTTTTGGACACGGGCGGTTGGGTAGCCTAGTGGTTAAAGCGTTTGCTCGTCACGCCGAAGACCCGGGTTCGATTTCCGACATGGGTACAATGTGTGAAGCCCATTTCTGCTGTCCCCCGCCTTGATATTGCTGGAATATTGCTATAAAACGGCATAAAACCATATTCACCCACTCACTTTTGGACACACATATCATCATCACAGACAAAACCTTTGTGTCTAGCCCGAACTTGGTGCAAAGCACCATTATCAGTGGATTTTATATGGATTATTTTTATCTCAGCTTACCATGCTTACTAGACTGAACCCAGTTTGCTGGACTTGGGCTAGACTAGTTGCTGTCCTAGAGTGTTATCAGTTAATGTCTGTCCCAATCATTGCTAACTACAGTAATATTTACACTGAGACAATGTCTGAACCTAGACCATGATGACATGGTAGACTGAAAATGGACCAAATGGAAAAAAGGAGTGTGGGACATGTTTAGATGACATAAAAATCAACAAATGAACTCTGAAATGTTTTATGTGACGTGCAAATAACGACCCCTTCCATGCTTACAGGCTCAGTGAAGTAGTGGTAATTATTGAGTATTGTTCAAAAGCCTTGAAATTTTTATTTGAATGTGTTATTTTCTTGCAGCATGTTTTGTTCGGCGATGTTGGGATTGTGACAATGTAAAGAAATGCAAGAGGATGAAACAGCATGCATAATGACTAGTACGAAACAGTGACTTCATCAGCGGTAGTAGCCTCAGTATGTTCAGGTGCTGGTCGGGAAATGGGAAGCGATGTTTCAATAAGCACCAACAGAAGATAACTCTCCTTCTCATCGGTGCTTTCATCTATGGTGAGTGGCAGCAAGAGGTTTCCATACTATCTAAACAATACTGTAAAATCGAACTTAGTTTTGAGTTTTTCATAGGTATGCATTTTGGAGAAAAATTGTGAAGTTTGTTTGACAATTTACTGGTACAGAAGATACATGTTTAGATTGTCAGTGTCAGTGCTGTAGAGAATAGGATTACATGGATTACAGCAATGCTGTACCGTAGTAGAATAAGTGAATTAAAGTGGTTTAGATTTGTGTATTAGGTGAAGCTCAGTGGTGTACAGAAGTGGATTAGCTGAATTATGACATGTGATGTACAGTGTGTGTAGATGAATTAATGTAATGTTGTACCATACTGAAATTGGATATATAGTGGTGGTTTGTTATTGTGAATTAGATGGATTTTGATGTGTCTTCTAGTGGATGACATGAATTAGAATGGTGTACCATAGTAAATTCTGAAGCGGATAGCAGGAATTATGATGGTGGAGAAGAGATGAATGACAATTGTTCATTAGATGTATTTGTATGTCTGAAATACAGTTTCTTAATAAGTAAATGCAAAATATGGTTGATTTCTGTATGTATTGTGACCAGGACATTGACTGAAGTTCCTTTTCACTTTCAGGAGTGTCTGCAGATATCTGCAGTTCCACCATCAATGAGAGTGAAGCTCGAGATGCGATTCACAGGGGATTCAAGCCCAGGTTAGGATCCAACGCTGGACGCTACACCAAGGACATCAACGCTGCTGCTGTGTTGGACTGTGTAGTGAGCTGCTGTAATGAAGGGTCCTGTGACTCTGTCTTCTTCCATCAGAATACATGCTATCAGCTAGAATGCAATCGCTCCATTCCCGGTGCTTGCGACCCTCTCAAGGCAGACGACCCCAAGTTTAACAATACTTTCTACATCAGCGTTCGAACTGTGGGTGAGTAGCGATCTGTGTTTTTAGCAGCCTGCAGATAATGTGTTTCAAGGAGTTAGAGCTCGGTGAAGAGTGTATTTCATGGCAAGATGTTAGGCCAATTAGTTCTTTTGGCAGTCTCTTTGCACAGTTGAGACCCGTGAAGATCTGGGATAGAGTAGGTCTTCAGCAACCCATGCTTGTCGTAAGAGGCGACTAACGAGATCGGGTGGTCAGACTCGCTGACCTGGTGGATGCATGTCATTGAACCCGATTGCGTGGATCGATGCTCATGATGTGAATGACTGGATTGTCTGGTCCAGACTCGATAATTTACAGACCACTGTCATATAGCTGGAATACTGCTGAGTGCAACCTTTAACAACAAACAAACAAAAAACAAACTAACAAACAAACTAACAAACAAACAAACAAACACAGTGGACAGCTGGTGATCATTTATTCATCCTTAGGTCATTATTTAACATGCTTAGGCGGTAAAAGCTTTCATAGTCAGAAGTTGTAGCTCTTTAGGCGGTGACTGGTATCCTTTACACAGAAGTGAGAGAGTTGGGTTTCAACAGTACTTAAGATATATCGAGGCCTGTAAGGTATATACCACTTAGGTAAAGCCAGTGAGCATAGACAATTATGGCTTTAAAACTAGGCAGAAATGTGAGTCCAGTACGCACAAATATATAAAATGGATGCCGAAAAATGAATATGTTGTGTCCTAAGGGGCCGACAATAATATTCATGGCACCGAATTCTTGTCAAGGAATATTAAGTTCTTGTAATTGAAGTAATTATCAAACTCACTGTAGTGTGCACAACACCATTACTTTACCATGTTTACAGGACCCTCGTATTTCCTGTAAGCACCCTTGAAATTAATCATTAGGCGTCCTGTGGACCCCCCGTTTTTAAGTCGAGGTAAAACCCTGGGTATGTTGTTGACATTAAGAAGGAATCTGTGCCTCTACTACTTGCCCATGTCCAATATCTACTGTATCACTGTTTGTCTGTAATTGTAAGTTCAGTTGAGTATAAGAGGGGGTCAAGACTTTGATCCCAGAGATATACTTCATTCGGGACCAAAACTGTGAGTTAGATTATGCTGAAAAAAAAAGAAAAATGTGATCATGAATATTTTTGGTGTATATTATAATTCATCATAATTTGTCTCATTGTAATATTATGTTGGATGCTTAAATATTGCTGTAAGACCGCCTCCGTGGTCTAGTGGCAGAGCGTCAGCCCGGAGAGCGGAAGGTCCGCCACTAGACCGCCTCCGTGGTCTAGTGGCAGAGCGTCCGCCCCGAGAGCCGAAGGTCCGGTGTTTGATCCCCGACCGCGTCATACCAAAAGATGTTAAAAGATGGTACTTGTTGTTACCCTGTCTGGCGCTCGGCATTAAGGGGCTAAAACAAGGACTGGTCGGCTTGGATTCAGTATACTGTGTCTGAGTGGGGTATTCATTACTGTTAAACTGCGGCATGGTATCTCAGTGAGCTAGCACTATAAATCGGCATCAGTCCGGACTAGTACAAGCAGCCACACAAACACACACACGTACATGCACGTGGCTATATAAGTGCGATAATCTTGGACGTGATGTTAAACCCCATTTCACCTCACCTAAATATTGCTGTAGGCAAGCTAGAGGAGAGACAGAGTGCTCCCTTGAGAAACATACTTTATTATGTCAGCACGTTCCCCTCATTGTAACAAAGCAAGTTTAATGTATTGCATGCATATCTGATAAAAACAACAAATAGAATACATATATGACTTGTGCCCCTGTGAGCAAATGGCTATGGGCTATATACGGACATGCTTCAGTGCACACCAGCTGGTACCGTAGCTGATTGTTGTGAGTCAGACCACATAACTGTATATTACATTGCATCAGCATGTTATATTGGATCGATTAAAGTGTCTTTGATAGGTATACAGTTAAGTTTGTGTTACACATGTAGCTTGTTTGGAAATTGCACTGCTTTAATGGATGGGTTCTTTTCTTATTTAATGATTGAGAGAACAGTATGGGCATATTTATGGTGAAAATAAGATATTTTCTTCAGGGTCACAGTAGTGAAGATATAAATGATATTTGCAGTGATCCACCTTCCAAGTTTTCAATGTTTACTGGAACTTCTTTTGAAGTGTCCAAGTCAACTATTTTTCTCAAACACACACTTTCAAGGCCTTTCTTTGACATGACTATACTACTCAATATTTACTAAGGATCACAATAGTCACCTTTAGTCAAAGGTGTGTTCCTTAGCAAATGTTGAGTAGTATGTAGCGGCCATAAATTTTTCGAGTCACGTGATGGGAGTCGAACCACGGACCTTCTGATCCGAGGTCGGACGCCTTGTCCACATGACCAAAGAGGTTAACCCCTTCAGCAAGCTGACAAGGTAAGGATGTCATCTGTGGGATGACTCCACGCCCTGCTACAAGAAAATTACAGTAGTTTCTTAGCAAATGTTGAGTAGTATATTACAGTAGTTATGGAATCATGCTCAAGAATGCAACCTATGACCCTTTGTTTCAGTGAGTGATTCAGCACAACAGTTGCACATGCATTTTGTTACAGTCGCTTGTATGCACATGCCAACCACAAGGTTGTCTCGTGCAACTTTTGGAATAGTTTGACAATCTTTTTGTAGAGGTGTTTGGTTGTTCAGGATGTATTTTACCTGGAACAAATACAGACTTATAACAATAGGATGACACAATAATTATTATGATAGTTAAAAGTAACATTGAAAATGTTGCAGTGGATGAACATCTTGTCATTTTCATTATTTTTCTCATTTCATTTGACGATTAGTGGCTACTTAAACATACTACATATCTCATTCAATTATGTTTTTGATTAAATTTTTATTTCTGGAGTCAAGTTACAGATTGGAGCTCCTGCCCAGGAAAGCCTGAAGCTTGCTGGAAGGAAATTTGAGAGATGAAATACATTCATTTATTTTACCAGATGAGCACTTTTGAGATTAGGATTCAGCATGACAAGTTAACCTGAAACATATTTTAACCTGTATAGTGATCATATACATGGACATCCTCTTAAACCTCTATAATTCTACTTGCCTTTGGATACCTTTAACATTAGACAAATTGACTTGAATGTACAGGCTAGTCCCATTCTACATCCCTGAGGATGATCCATCAGTAGCATATTCGATACAAGGGACGTTAGTTGTCTTGGGGTGTAGTGTCTTGTGAATGTTCATATGAGCAAAAGTTGTAGTTGTGAAAGAAAGATTGTGAAAAATGTATCCATGTTAGTTATTGTGTAAACATACAACAATGTACAATATTGAGGTGAAATTGGGTTTAACGTTGCGTCCAAGATTATTGCACTTATATAGCGATGTGCATGCACGTGTGTGTGTGTGTGTGTGTGTGTGTGTGTGTGTGTGTTTGTGTGTGTGTATGGCTGCTTGTACTAGTCCGGACTGATGCCGATTTATAGTGTTAGCCCACTGAGATATCATGTCGCAGTTTAACATGAATACCCCACTCAGACACAGTATACTGACTCCGAGCCGACCAGTCCTTGTTTTAGCCCCTTAATGCCGAGCGCAAGACAGGGTAACAACAAGTACCATCTTTTAACGTATTTTGGTATGACGCACCCGGGGGTCGAACCCCGGACCTTCCTCTCTCCGGGCGGACGCTCTACCACTAGACCACGGAGGCGGTCCTACAATTTTGAGTCTTATATGTGACTGATATGACTGAATTAAGACTTACTGTCTCCGATTTAAATTTTACATTGCCTGGGGTTGGAAATTCTGCCATGGTGAGACTTAATGCATGATGTGCAAATTGGGATATCTTTGTGTAGAAATATGTAGCTGCAAGTTACAAGAAATATGTGCAAGCAATGTTCAAAATAAGTGCCTGCCTGTAAGCCCGTGGCAGGTTGATCTCGTGTCGGGCCCGTAGTTTCGGATTTGTATGGGTCCTTAGGGCCCGCTGTAAATGTGGGTGTTAATCTATTTGTCACATAAGCTGCGGGGCTTTTTCTTAAATGAGGGCCTGAGTTTAGTCGGGGCCTGCAGCTTCTAAATGTTGGCAGCCTGGAATGTTGGCGGTGTAAGTAATTGAGTCTGAACCAGACAATCAAGTGATCTACGCATTTGGGATACGATGACATGCATCAACCAAATCAGCGAGTCTGACCACCCAATCCCGCTAGTTGCCCCTTCCCACAAGCAGTTGCCTTTTCGGCAAGCATGGGTTGCTGAAGACCCATTCTAACCTACTGTAAAGTAATAAGATGGTTTAGTGTACTGTACTCTAAGACTTGGTTATTACTTTAGTTACAGGACCTTCATATTTCTTGTGACAAAGTAAGTACAATAAATATTTCGGAGGGACTCACAATATTTATTTTTCTGCATCCATTCTGCACATGTGTTCATACATGACGCACATTTCTGTGTCTTGCAAAACCTGAATTGTTGATGTCTTCTTGACACTGGTCCTTCAACACAATTCCTTACATAGAGACACTACTTCATCAATACAGCAAATTAAACATGGTAAAGATATATGTTATGAAGACATTAGAACTCTGTGGTGTAGTGGATAGAGTGTCTGTATTCTCTGAGAACTGATGGTTGTCAGTTCGATCCCCTCTCCATGTTAAACCAGTTTAAAAGATGGTTCCTACCCTGCCTGGCTCCCAGTGTTACAGGGATAAAACAATGGCTGGTAGTCACAACCAGAAGTCCTGTCTAGTACAAGCAGCCACACACACACATGCATACATGTAAGTGAAATAATCTGGAACACGATGTTAACCCCATTTCACCTCACATAATTGCTGGAGTTACAAAATTCTGTTCAAACATTCTACACTTGTGTGTAACCGTTTTTACACACATGAAATCTCTGTATCCCTGGTCCCTTACCATACAGCATGTACATGGTCTTATTGATCTTTTACTGTTTACTGACACAAAAGGATGTTTAAAATATTAAAGTGCTGAATAAGACATCAACC